CTTTTCCTCTAGGACCCTGGCCGGCCTTGCCGCCGCCTTCAGCCCAGCAATCCGCCTTATAATGACCCTTCTTCTTGCAGTTGAAGCACTCAACATCCTTCTTTGAATTTGAACCTCCAGCCCGACTCTTCCACCTGGAAGAATCATTGTTGGAGTAGAAGGCAACATCCTTGTCGTCCTTCCTGCCGTTCTTCTTCAGAAGTCGGCGCTCGTATTCATCAGTGATGGTGAGCATGAGCTCATTGGCGGAGAGGGTGGTTCCGAGCACGCTGGATGTAGCGCTGACTGCGGAAATATAGGGATCGAATGAAGATGGGAGGGAGCCGAGGATTATCGCGTAGAAATCATCCTCAGTTGGGGGTTGACCCATTGCTGCGAGATCCTCGCGCATGGTCCTGAGCTTCGTGAAATGGGTGCGAATATCGCCACGCTCATCACAACGCTCCTCTTGAAGCCTGCGGCGCAAGTCTACTGAAACCATACGAGATTTCTTCTGGAATTCGTTCCCGAGTTCCGTCCAAATTTCGGTGGCAGTTGTCTTGCCTCGGATCTTCATAAACAGTGAGTCTGGTATCGTTCCAGCGATCTGCTGTTTGACAATCGCTTCGCCCTGCTGCCATACTTTCAAATCTTTCTTCCATTGTGTCTCCAGTACCGTCTGCGCTGCAGTCAAAACGAGTACTGTCCCATCAGTGGGTCTCAGTGCTTCAATAGGATCCACTGGTGCCGCTGCGGTTGGCTCGATGTGCTCTCTGAGCCCTCGAGCATCAACGGCCCAAGTGAATCGGTCTTTGTAAATGACCCAATTCGTCCCGGTGACTTCGAGCTTGGGGATACGCAAGAAATCATCTCCGAGTTTGGTGGATGTAGTGGAGGACATTGTTGGTGGATAGATTTATTTCAATGAAAATATGTCGGGCAATCAAGCACGATATGAGGATGGTCAAAGTGGTAAAGGTTTCTTTAGATGCGGGGTCCGGGGCCCATAACCTATGGGAAGATTGACTTGGGGGTTCGCAACTAAAGAACAGACTGAATAATATTCATGAGGTAGGTCGGTATATATACAAGTCTCTTATCTATGAGTCTAGTCGAATTGGATATATGCTGGAGTAAACCATGCGGTTGTGAGGCTAGAGTCATAGTGAAACATGACAACGATGATGTGAAACATAAGATAAGGAAAAGTCCACATGCTTTCCACATGGTCAGAGATCATCTGATTAGACCACGGGTTGTATTTCCAACAGCCCGAACCCCCCTGGAACAAATATTGTTCTTCCACTAAAGTCTGCTTGCGCAGACCGAGCAATTGGAAATCTATAAAGACACTGCGGAACCAGGAAGTAAGAAAAAATCGGAAGAGAAAGGAAGGAAAATAAATGCCTATTCTCTCTTCTGGAACCGATAACGGGGATCATACAGAATAGAGTGAGGTGGGATTGCAGACAACATTAAATTGGCTTAATTTACCTACAGAAATGTGTTGAGCGTGGCACAGTGCAGCACGCATGCCGCATTTGCTCAGGGAGAGTTTTGCACGAGTGTAGCACAAATATTGAATGGGTGCAGCATCGGGGCTGCACGCGTTAGAAAAGGTCAGTTTGGATGCAGAACTGGTACCAGAGGCCGCCAAAGAGCTGAATTAAATTGAAGGCTACATCGGCATCAGTGCAGAACTGAGGTCGGAACGAAGAAGCACGCGTTTGCACTAGTTTGAACGCGCTCTGCACGCACTGCACGAGTTTACACTCGTTTAAACTGGGGTTTTGTCCAGTAAAAGCTGTCATAGACAGCAGCGCCCGCCGCCGACACCTCTCGAAGCCGTCGATGCGTTGATCAAACTTGATCTTGACGCTGATCCGAGTTCTTCCACCTTGCCTTCGCTGAGAAAAATAGCAAAAAACCCAGCAGAAGCCAGCTCGCGAACGCAATTTGGGGCCAACAACCTCGCCGTAGAATGCCACATATTTCTAGTGGCAGTGGCCCTGAACCATGATACTATTTATTTAGTTGACCGACGCCGACAGGTTCAATTCAACTCGACTCAATTGATAAGAAAGTGGTGGTACCGGTTCGAATTGACATGGAATAGCGAGGCACTAGCACGCGAAAGTCCACTTATGACGTGTGGCAAAAGAAGATCGATGTTGAACACAACTGGATAATTCTAGTCAGCAACCCGGTTGCTGGCAGCAAACCCGGGTTGTTGCTGTTTAGCAACCCCAGTATTTTTTTGGCTATTCAGCAACCCTGTGGATCGCAAGAGCGGGCCGTTCGGAGGCTTCGATGCCAGGCCAAGGCCGAGCGGCCGGACTCGGCTTTTGGCCTGAAGCAGTCCAAATGAAAAGGTAGATGAGCGTAATGAAAGACATTTAGTGAGAGTTCCAGGCGCTTTGAGGTCGCGGTGTTCACTTGCGTATGAGCTGCAACGAATTTTTGACAGCGCAGTTGACTTCAACGGATGAATTGATGGTATCACTACGACTGTCGTCTGAAAGGCGGCAGTTACTGTACTTATAATAATTACCAGTGAGCTCAATGTTCAATACAAAAATTTTCTGAGCCTACACATCCCTACTTCTCCTCAAATAGCTACATGAAAGTCTGAGTCCGAGTGACCGAGTCCAACCGGCGCCGCCGGCCTCCAGCTCGGCAACCTCGGCGTAGCCTCCGTGAGAATAATTCCTTGTTCTCTTACATATTACTGTTATCTCCGAGCCTCGCCCACAAGCTCGTCGGGTCATGTTCGCTGTTGGAACTTTTTTTATATCCTTCAAACTCTGCTCATCTTTCTCACCTCTCTCAAACTAAATAGTTACTCACCTTGCACGGGTGGAAGTACTGCGAGGTTCATCTATGTTGACCGCTGAGTGCGGAGTGTCTTTTTCCTAGGATAGTAAAAGTAAAATGCACGTTGGGATGACAATTAGCGAGCGGGCGGGATGGTGTGTTGAATCCACACCTTGCGCTGTTTTTTGTTCGCACCTATCGGGCTTCAAAGCAGGTAGGAGAACACCTGGTAGCACACGATGTGCACCTGCCTTCCTTTGGGTACCTGCACCGGTGATAGAAGCAGGCAGGAGGCCCCTGTTCGATTCGGGGTCGGGTCATGTTCGCTGTTGGAACTTTTTTTATATCCTTCAAACTCTCTGCTCATCTTTCTCATCTTTCTTAAACTAAATAACGACGCACCTTGCGTGGGTGGAAGTACCATGAGGTTCATCTATGTTGACCGCTGAGTGCGGAGTGTCTTTTTCCTAGGATAGTAAAAGTAAAGTGCAAGTTGGGATGACAATTAGCCAGTGGGCGGGATGGTGTGTTGAAACCACACCTTGCACTGTTATTTTTTTTGGTTCACACCTACCTACCTAGCCACTAAACAAAGCTGAGCATACCCGATGGCACATGGTGTGCACCTGCCCTCCTTCACGGCCCAAAGCATTGTAGGCAGGACGTCCCCGTTCGACTCGGGGTCAGGTGATAATCACTGTGGTCCCCTTTTTCTTTTTCTTTCTTTTCAAACCTTCCCCATGTCTTTCTCATCTTTCTCAAGCTAAAAAACAACCACACTCAAGCCCTCAGCGTAGGCTATTTGTCACCTGGTGGTACTCCCATGCGAGGTGAGCAATTTTTTTGGGATCGTAAAGGTAGAGTGCAAGTTGGGCGGGACAGTGGCGTCTTTTCAACCACACTGTGCACTGGTTTTTTTCTTTTGTTCACACCTATCAGGCTTTGCAGCAGGTAGGAGGACACCTGATGGCGTATGGTGCGCACCTGCCTTCCTTGACTTTCCTATTTCCAGAAGTGGGCAGGAGGCCTCCGTTCGACTCGGGGTTCGGTTATGATTTGGAGAAGGTGATTTTTTCCCCCTGATCCTTTGGTTCCCTTTTCTTCCCCTCAGCAAACTGTCACTTTCTAATTTTTGGCTCACACTTATTGAAGTTCAAAACTGGGTAAGAACACCCGATGGCACATGGTGTGCACCTGCCTTTCTTCATTCGTTACTAATAAAAGCATATGTAGGCAGGAGCTCCCCGTTCGATTCGGGGTCGGGTGATAATGGCTGTGGTCCCCTTTTTCTTTTTCTTTTCAAACCTTCCCTCGCCTTCTCACCTCTCTCAAACTAATTGATTCACTCACCTTGCATGGATAGAAGTACTACCAGGTGACAAATACCCTACGCTAAGGGCTTGAGTGTGGTTTCTTGTTCTGAGGATTGTAAAGATAAGATAAAGTGCAAGTTGGGATGAAATTAGCCACCAAGCGGGATGGTGTCATTTCAACCACACCTTGCACCAGTTGTTTTTGTCACACCTATCAGACTTCAAAACAGGTAGGAGAACACCCGATGGTACATGGTGTGCACCTGCCTTCCTTGAGTTGCCTATTCCCAGAAGTGGGTAGGAGGTCCCCGTTCGACTCGGGGTCGGGTTATGGGGTCATTGGTAACGGTTTCTTTTTTTCCTCTCCAACTACGGTGACTGATCTTTTAGTTCCCTTTTCTTCCCCTCAGCAAACTGTCATTTTCAATCCTGTAAAATACAGTTTGGTGCATGTGTGTTTGTTCGAAACTTGTGTGGTGGGTTCTCAACCCTGCTCGCCCTCATTGAAGTTCAAAGCAGGTAGGAGGACACCTGATAGCACATGGTGTGCACCTGCCTTTCTTCGTTCTCGAATAATCAAAGGATATGTAGGCAGGAGCTCCCCGTTCGATTCGGGGTCGGGTGATGTTCGCCAAAGTTGGTAGAACATTTTTTTTATATCCTTCGAACTTTCTGCTCTTCTTTCTCATAATAACTACTCACCTTGTATGGGTAGAAGTTACCACGAGGTTTATCTATACTGACCGCTGAGTGTGGAGTGTCTTTTTTAGAGGATCGTAAAAGTAAAGTGCAAGTGGGAATGAAAATTAGCGAGCGGGCGGGATGGTGTCTTTTCAACCACACCTTGCACTGTTTTTTGTTCACAGCTGTCAGACTTCAAAGCAGGTAGGAGGACACCTGGTAGCACATGGTGTGCACCTGCCTTCCTTGTAAGGATCTGTTTGTAGGCAGGAGGTCCCCGTTCGACTCGGGGTTGGGTGATAGCTTCGGCGAATTGGATTTTTTTTTTCTCCCTAAGGAATTGATCCTTATTTTCTCCGGGGAGCTGATTTCTCTTCCCTTTTCACCTCCTGCAATTGCATCATGGGCAAACTGATCTTTGTTCAATACTTTCGTGATCGGTTTTCAACCATGCCCACACTTGTTGGAGGTTCAAAACTGGGTAAGAACACCTGGTGGCACATGGTGTGCACCTGCCTTCCGTAAACGATCAGTTGGTAGAATGTGTGGGCAGGAGGTCCCCGTTCGACTCGGGGTCGGGTGATAATCTGTTGTGTTTGGTCTTTTCTTTCTCTTTCTTTCTTTTCAAATTTTCCCCTCGTCCTTCTCACCTCTCTCAAACTAATTGATTTACTCACCTTGCATGGGCGGAGGTACCGCGAGGTTCATCTATGTTGGCTGCTGAGTGCTAGGCGTGTTTTTTTTTTAGGATCATAAAGATGAGATAAAGTGCAAGTTGGGATTAGGACACTGTCTTTTCAACCACACTCACCATTTTTTTGCTCACACTTGTTGAGGTTCAAAACTGGGTAGGAGGACACCCGATGGCACATGGTGTGCGCCTGCCTTTCCTGATTGCCTGCACAAGCATGTGTAGGCAGGAGGCCCCCGTTCGATTCGGGGTCGGGTGATAATGACTTTGGGCGCCTTTTTCTTTTTCTTTCTTTTCAAACCTTCCCTCGTCTTCTCATCCCTCTCAAACTAAATAATTACTCACCTTGCACGGCGGAAGTACTGCGAGGTTCATCTATGTGAACACTGAGTGCTAGGCGTGTTTTTTTTTTTAGGATCATAAAGATGAGATAAAGTGCAAGTTGGGATTAGGACACTGTCTTTTCAACCAAACTCACCATTTTTTTGCTCACACTTGTTGAGGTTCAAAACTGGGTAGGAGGACACCCGATGGCACATGGTGTGCACCTGCCTTTCCTAATCGTCTGCACGAGCGTATGTAGGCAGGAGGCCTCCGTTCGATTCGGGGTCGGGTGATAATGGCTGTGGTCCCCTTTTTCTTTTTCTTTCTTTTCAAACCTTCCCTTGTGTTCTCATCTTTCTCAAACTAAATAATTGCTCACCTTGTATGGGTAGAGGTTCATCTATGTGAACGCTGAGTGCAGCGCGTCTTTTTTATTTAGGATTGTAAAGGTAGAGTGCAAGTAGGGATTAACGAGCGGGCGGGATGCTGTCTTTTTGACCACACCTTGCACTGTTTTTTGTTCACACCTATCAGAATACAAAGCGGGTAGGAGGACACCCGATGGCACATGGTGTGCACCTGCCTTTCCTAACTCTGTGAAGACGTATGTAGGCAGGAGGTCCCCGTTCGACTCGGGGTCGGGCGATGAGGTGGACGCGTTGTTTTGTTGCGTGCGACAGTGAGTACGTACGTACTGTATAATCATTGACATACCTCGTTCCCCGTTCCTACCCCGTCTAGACTCTAATTCCCGACCGAATGGATTATGGATACTTCCTTGCCGACCGAATGAATGCTTACTTGCCGAAAGTGAACGCCGAACACGTCCGTCGGCGCTAAGTATGATACGTGTTGAAGTCTATTCAAGTACCCCACACTGCCCAGCAGAACGCCGTCGGGTGTGTGCGTGCTCCGCGATGGTTGCCTTGGCCCTTGGTCGTCGCACGAATGATGGATGAGTGGGAGTGACTCCGGGTAAGTACTACTAGTAAGTCTTGGGTCCGTGATGCTGCAGTGGTGCTGGGTGAGCGAGATCTAGACGCGCCGGGCGAAGTCCGAGGTCCGAGGCCAGAATTCGCATCGGCGCGCGCGTCTCGTTTCACCGCCAAGTGCATGCATGCGCAGAAAAACCAAGCGTCTTGGCGCGGCGTTGGCAGGAAGTTGAACGGCGCGCGACCCAAAACAGACGACGGGCGCTGATTTGATCTCGCCTACGTCACCGGGCCGATCCGAGTCCGGATTTAGATGAAATTGGGATTGACAACCGCGCCCGCGCAGCAATCGATCCGCTTCCAGTTCCGCCTCTCGCCCACGTCGAAACACCACAGCAAGCAAGCAGCACGAAGGAAGTTGAATTTGAAGGCATAGAGGAAATAGAGGAGCACGATGTCGTTCTTCAAGAAACTCGAGAACCTGGTGGACAGGCTGCCGGAGGGGTACCAGCACACCAGGGATGAGATTATCGGTGTGTCCCCTTCCTTCCCCTTGCGCCCTTTCGCTTGCGCGCCGTACCGCTCCGCCAACGCGTACTCCCACTCGCCATCTGGCTTGATAGGAGTGGATAGAGCGGCGCGGGCATTCCTCCCTTCCAACAACTGCTTTCAAGCGCGTATATACTGACGTTCCTTGCCCTGTTGTACAGGTCTCGTCAACCCCAATCGTGCGTCGTCCTCCCTGCTCTCATTGGTACTTCGCATTAGCTGACTCGAACGCCGTCCGACGCAGGCCGCCACGACGACCCCGAGGAAAAGCGGCAGGACGCGATCCGCGCAGAGATCAATGCGGGGCACCGGTTCGACAGCTTTGCGGCGGAGAGGAGCGAGAATTTCGTTAAATGGTGCGTCTGCGTGTTGTATTTCTGCGTGAGGCTTGGGCGGAGGGGACAGGCGATGTGGGCTGTCGATGGGTGTCGTTCGTCGGCCGCGCTGCAAGCGGGGACGGCGGATTGGGGCACACACCCTCCGTCCGTTTGGGCATTGCCCCGATGCGCATCGGGCGGATATGCTGCGTCCCTTTGTCCAGCCGTCATGGCCGTACCCTCGTATCGTCCCCTCGCATCGTCCTCGCATTGGCCCCGCTCCTTTCACGCGCGTCCAGCCTCCCCGCCCCCGTCCTCATCCCCCCACCACGCCGCATTCCCCTCCCCCTCCGATCCTATCGTCCTCCCGCCTCCCCCTACCCCCCCCGCCTCCCCTTCCAATTCCACTCTCCACTTTACACTCCCCCACCCTCCACTCTCCACTCACTCGCACTCACACTAACACACCGTTCCTTCGCTCACAGGCACATCGACGGGCACGACTACATGTGGGCCCTCTCCGAGATGATCGACAACGCGCGCGAGGTCATATTCATCCAGGTTCGTGTCTTTTGCTTTGTCTTTGTCTTTTGTTTTCTTTTGTGCTTCGCGCGCGCAAAGAAGAAGTGCCCCGATGTGTGCCTGCGCTGGGTTCGGCGCTCCACCCCTTGCGCGTGTCCCCGCCCTTGGTGTGCGCACCTGGCCATCCTGGCCCTTGGTTTGCTCGCGCGGCGCTTTGCAGCTGGCCGGCCTGGCTCTGCCCGGGCTGGGCGCCTTCCTTGCGTGGCGTGGTGACGATCCGACCGTGCGCGGCCGCGTTCGGCGGTTCAGGGCCCGCCTTGAGCTGCGCACCATTCCCTTCCCCTTCCCCACCCCCTCTCACATCACACCTCCGCATAAAACTAACCCTCCCCCTCTTCCCTTTTAAAGGACTGGTGGCTCACCCCCGAGCTCTACCTCCGCCGCCCGCCCGCCGCGCACCCCGAGTGGCGCCTCGACAGGCTGCTGAAGCGCAAGGCCGAGGAGGGCGTCAAGGTAAGCGCTTTCTTACTTTTTGTTTGCTTTGTCTGTGTGTGGTTTTTTGCTTTGTCTGCGTGTGGTTTGTCTGCGCGTGCGCGTGGTTTTTGTTTCGACGAGCTTTCTTACTTTATCTGCGCGTGGTTTTTCTTTCTACGAGCTTTCTCTTCTACGAGCTTTCTCGTTCCTTCTTTGTCTGCGCCGATTTTGCGATCTTTGCGATTTTGTGATTTTGCGATTTTGTGGCGGGTGGCGAGTTGCGGAGGGGTGGGAGTTGCGGAGGTGTTGTTTTGCGTCGTGGTGGTGGTTTGCGTTTGGGCCGAGCGGGGGGCGTCATGCGTCTGCGTGAGGCGTCTGTGCGAGGAGGGCGCGGTGCCGATTCGTCAGGCTTCGCTTGGGCGTCCGCAATTTTTTGGGCGGGGCCAGCCCCTTTCGACGGGGAGAGTTCTAAAAATCCTAACCGGAACGAAGACGGCGACTGAGCGCGTAACGGGGGGCGCTCGAGGCGTCTCGACGCGCTTTTTCCGCGACCCTGCAGGCGCGCGCCTCCCGCCTCCCGCCTCCTGGGTATATATCGAGACTGCGTCGGAGGGACGCAACGCACATTCGGTCCGGTGCGGTCCACGCGCGTCCGCGTCGTCGTCGTTGGCTTCTGCATGCTTCGTCTCCTCCTCTTGTCTGTGGTGCCGCGGCCGCGTCCCGTCGTTGTCGTATCTCGGCAAAGACCCCCCGTGCTCCTCGTCCCGGGCCGCGTCTGCGCTTTCGTTTTTTCGTGTTGGGTGTTGGTGTTGGTCGGCAGTGGGGTTTTGGATTCCTGCGCAGGAGACGGGATCGCGATCCTTTCTTCTTTTTTATTTTTTCGGCGGTCGTGTATGGAGGCTGGCTGGCTGGATGGATGGAGCGAAGGACAGGCTTGCGGACGGCGCGGCTTTTGCGGTTGCGGACGTCTGCCTCGTCGTCGTCACCCCGCGACGCGCACTTCCCGGTCCCTGCGCCATACGCGCATTCGCATTCGTTCGTCTGGCGGGCCTCCTTTCCTTCTGCTTTTCTTGACGAATGAGGCAACGTTCGGGCGTTCCTCCACACTCCTTCCCTCTCCCCCTCTCCCCCACCTCTTCCCTCGCCACCCACTAACCCCTCCCCGCAGGTCCACGTAATCGTCTACAAAGAAGTCACGCAGACCATGACCATGTCGTCAAAGCACACCAAGAGCGCGCTCGAGGGGCTCCATCCCAACGTGACGTGCCTGAGGCATCCGGACCATATTGGGGCGAAAGGTGCGTTTTGGGTCTGGTTTTTTTGGGGGTGGGAGAGGGCGGGGCGAGGGCGGCAGCGGGCTGTGTGGGTGGAGCTTTTGTGAGACGGGAGACGGGGAACGAGGGGGTGGGGAGCGGGGAGCGGACGTGCGTTTGGGGCGCGTGCGCGGGGCGAGAGAGCTGAGGTGTTTCGTTGTTGTTGTTGGGCTCGGAC